CCTGCACTCAAGAGGCTGAGGCTGGAGTTCGAGGCCAGCCTGGGACACACAGTGAGTCCAAGGCCAGTCTGAACTACATAGCAAGACTGTCTGACACAAACAAAATTAACACAGCCAATCTGTTTGATTTATTGTGTTTTGTGTGTTCTATCTGCTTTCTTGTCCATCTGCTTTTGATAGTCGGCTAAAGTACTTGTAACTGCTTCATTTAAAAAAAATTTTTTTGAACTCATACCAATTTCATTTTTTATTTTTATTTTCATTTTTGCCCTTACAGATTTCTGGCTCTGTTCAGGCATTCCATTAAAAAAATTTCGAGGGCCAGAGATTTAGCCCAGTGGTTCCATCGCAAGCACAAGGACCCAAGTTCAATCTCCAGTACCAAAAATAAATAAATATAAATAAAAATCTTATTAAAATATATAGGTAGGGGCTGGGGATTTGGCTCAGTGGCTCCGCTGCCTGCCTCGCAAGTGCAAGGACCCTAATTCGATCCCTGGTACCAAAAAAAAAAATAAATAATAAAATATATAGGTAGATAGATAGATATAGATAGAGATATTCAAAGGTTACCAAACTCTTTAAAGGGAGGAAAGAAAAAAAACCTGCTATGCTCAAGGCTTACATAAAACTTGCAAATGAGAACATTAAAGGTTGCTCAGGAAGGATATAATTTAGGTTAACATATATGTTTCTGTGTCAACTTTCAAGTACACTGTCCTGTCACTAGATCAGCCTGGGCATGTTCACTTGAGATTCAAGCAGCCCAAACCAGAGATGCAAAGCCATGGATTGGGTTAAGCATCTTATTCAGCTGTTCAGCCAGTCCACCTGAGCAGCCACTCTTACAGTAGCCCTAGCCACTGTGCACTCACAGCAGCCCTTAGCCCGACAGCCAGCCCATTCTCACGGCAGTCCTTGCTTGGTCCCCCTGCAGTCTACATTTACACCAAAATGCACAATAGTGGCCAAGTATCAGCGATGTCCTTGGTTATAGCAGTTATTTACTGAGACCGATAAGGTGCACTTGCACTGAAAACTTACTAACTTAATTACTACTGGAAATCACCCACCCCCAATAGTGGTGAACCAAAGTCTAGCCATCTTAGGCTTCATTTTCCCCTCCAAAAGTTCTATTTAAATTTCTTATAGATAGCCGGGTGTAGTGGCGCATGCCTGTAATCCCAGCACTTGGGAGGCTGAGGCAGGAGGATCGCTGTGAGTTCGAGACCAGCCTGAGCTACATAGTGAATTCCAGATCATTCTCAACTACATAGTGAGACCCTGTCTCAAAAAATAAAACAAACAAACAAACAAAATTGCTTATAGATATGTGGTCACTCATGATATTAGCCCAAATATCTTTTGTCCATACAGCTTAACATTGAGCAACTTAAATTGATTGGTACTGGGCGCACTGGCACACATCTGTAATCCCAGCACTTGGGAGACTGAGGTAGGAGAATCACTGCAAGTGTAAGGGCAGCCTGAGCTATACAGTGAGTTCAGGGCCAGCCAGAACTACACAGCAAGTCCCTGTCTTAAAAGAAAATGACA